TATTGTTTATATGGCCAAAACTGTTTCCACCTAAATTCCAAACTGGTTAAAATCCTGCCACCTGATTTTTAGTAACTCTTACTCTTTGCAGTTTATTCTATGGGGTGCCGTTTGTGCATTTATTTATATAGCGTTTTTTAGGGATTTAAGCTTATTACATGTTGTATATGTATACAATTCTGTGATTTCTCATTATTTATGAATAATGAGATTTCAAATCAATTATATAGAAATCATGAGTGAGGATGTTTGATTTATTTATAAATAAGAAGTTTTGTACTATTATATATAAATAACATCTATATGTACATTTTATTATTTATAAATAATTTTACTTTCATTACTCAAATGTTATTTAATTATGACTTGAGATATGTTATACATATAAAACAAATTATGAAGGTCGAGTTCAATGCTATAAAAATAATTGTTATTGCAGCATTTATTTACAAACTAAGGATCAACGTATTAAATTCTTTATTTATATTTATGTGATTTATATACAAACAATTGTGTTTCGTATATAATCAGAAAAGTGTGTAATATTATTTACATATTATGCAGCAAAGTGCATCATTTATAAATAAATAAATACCATTATATTTAAGTAAGCTTGGTATTTGTAAATAATAATACAGACTTGTAAATAATGAAGCACGAACATCATAGTGTATGAATAATTACAACTCGATAAATATAGCTCCTGCAGCCGTAAACGGTGATGACCCGGGGCATGAGGCTGATGAAAAAGAGTTCGTGCCCCCAACTATGATTCACTGTGACACAACAATCGCTATTTCAGAGCTCAAAATTTCCATATCTATTCGATATTGGTTCAGTCAGTCACCTGGGTCGTTGTACACAGATTTGCTGCGCTTTGGGTTATCACTCATCTCACTCATGATTTCTATATAATTGATTTGAAAACTCATTATTTATAAATAATGAGAAATCACAGAATTGTATACATATAATATACTTAATCCACCCCATATTATTCTTCGTAAATTTTACTATGTGCTGATATTATGATTGTGATACCAGTAATTATTTATTTGAACCTAACTCAAACAATTGCATTTCATTCATATTTAACTTGGATATGTATCAGGCAGTGTCAAATCTCAATTTAGTGTATCTCTATGAATATTGTTTTATAATTCTCTGCCACACTGTTGTTTTGCAGATAGTTGAAACAAG